TTTAAATATTTTCCCGTATTTTTAATCTTTCTATTTAAAAAAAAAAATCCCACTGGGCATATTTTATGTTTGCTACATTCGCTTCCGGTAAAACTCCCGTAATTTGTATGGGCCAAACCTCATTATATGAATAATCACGTCAACAAATTCCAAGGTTGTCCAGTTGCCAGATCTTGTATGAAAGACATTTTTCTCACACGATCGACGCATACAAATTTCAACCCATTTCTCCCCTCAACGTGGCAACCTACAACAGTGATGCTATTGATATGTGCGCAGGTAGTACCGCGGGAAGGAAACAAGGATCACTGGTAGAAGTGGGAGGAGAAGACTCAGGTGGTGCTCCAGTGAAAAAAACGAAATATACATGTAAATTGAGATATGGCTTACACTTCAAAAGGCTATGGTTTAATTTATTAAATATGAACGCTGCAAGTTTCAAAGTCAGGTGCTGCACTGCTTTGTTTACTGCGGTTACCGGGGAAACGACTATATTCCTGGCAAAAAGCGCCACCTGCTGGCAGAGAATGAATTAGCATTTTTCAATAAGCCCTTCTGCTCTTTGTTTAGACCAAAGCCAAAAACGACCCTTATTTTTATGCAGAACACGCGCAGTTGTAAATGTGAACTGGTGGATGGACAAGAAGATAAGAAGATAATGAATTATAAAACTCTAAAGATATAGCCTACACTAAGATATATTTATGTTACTAAATGAATATAATTGTTTAAATTAATATAAAAATAATATAATATAAAAAAATTTACTTTTAACTTTTAGGTTGGATGATTGTAGTTTAAAAATGTCAACAAAAAAAACTCCCTCCCTCAAATTAAAAAAATCCCCCCATAAGAGCCCCCCATTGAGAGATGCTTTAACAGTCATGTAAATGACGCTGACTAGAGGACCACTGTTCTCACTGATTAGATTGAGGTTAAGAAGTGACTGGTTTGTGATTCTTTGGATTTAATTTTTGTACGATTCTAGGATGAAACCCTCGTGTTCAGTTCACTCAATGTGATTCATGATGCAGAATACACCTTCAATACCCACTTTCAAGATCACAAGTACAAGGTTGGTAAAACTAGTAGTTAATGTTCAAAATTAAACATTCTGGGAAAAAAATTGTTCCAAGATGAGTTTGTTTCTTCATGGGAACAGATTTGGAGAAATGTAGCATTACATCACTTGATCACCAATGGATTCTCTTACAGTGAAGGGGTGCCGTCAGAATGAGAGTCCAAACAGCTGATAAAAACATCACAATAATCCACACGACTTCAGTCCATCAATTAACATCTTGTGACACGAAAAGCTGCATGTTTATAAGAAGCAAATCCATCATTAAGGTGTTTTAACAGTAAATCTTCACTTCTTGCTTGTCCATAATCCATAATATTGCTTTCACCAGTGAAAAAGTCCATCCCCTGTTGTTCTTTCACATCAAAGTCCACCCATGTTTGTTTAGAACTGGACTGTTTTCACTTGTATATGGTGCATATTTCTCTCCTGATTCAAGCGAGACTTTTTCACTGGAGGAAGCAATATTATGAATAGAGAACTCATGTTTAAGCTGGAAGCAACGGTTTGAATTTAAAAACATTCTAATGATGGATTTGTTTCCTACAAACATGCAGATTTTCACTTCAGAAGACGTTCACTGATGGACTGGAGTGGTGTGGATTACTTGTGAATTATTATGATGTTTTTAACAGCTGTTTGGACTCTCATTCTGACGGCACCCATTCACTGCAGTGGATCCATTGGTGAGCAAGTGATGTAATGCTACATTTCTCCAAATCTGTTCCCATAAAGAAACAAACTCATCTACATCTTGGATGTTCTGAGGGTGAATAAACTTTAAGCAAATGTTCATTTTTGTATGAAATATTCCTTTAAGCTTCTCATACATGTATTTGTTGGAATAGTGGTTAACGTCCTGCAGCTGTCATGGAAAAGGTTTACAGTTGTTGCTTTTGTGATTCATCAAACATCTTTTCATCTCATACATGTATTTGTTGGAATAGTGGTTAACGTCCTGCAGCTGTCATGGAAAAGGTTTACAGTTGTGTTGCTTTTGTGATTCATCAAACATCTTTTCACAGGTCTATGTGATCCTCAGACCATATGTCAAAGAGTTTCTACAAGCCATGACCAAACATTTTGAGGTAAACAATGTGAACATTACACTAAAACATTAAATGCCTGTTCGCACCAAGATGAATATTTGATGCGCTACGCATTTTAATTTGATTGAACAGCTGTTAAAGTGTGCTGAGCGAATTTTGCCAAACAATGTTGATATTTGAAAGCACCAAAACAAACACGCCCATACCCCAACAGGACCTTGCCCCTATTTTGATAACTCCGCCCCACACGTACATACACAACCCTGGCAGTGACGATGGCTGAATCTGCTATGCCGGCCGCAGCATATTCAATCAAAAGCCAACACAGATTAGTTGTGTGAAACAAAGCAAAATCAACATAACTCGCCTATCAAGAAGAAACAAAGCAACCTCGGCGTCCAATTCCAGGCCTTCCCGCTCCTTGAGTTCTCTCCACTGCTGGAAAGCTGCTCCAATATTTACGCGGGTCCTACCTCTTGCCTGATCGTAACTCTTCTTTTTAATGTTGTGTTCCTCCGAAATGTTCCTCTTTTTTTTTTATCTGCCATCTATAGCCGTTCAGCTAATATCTGTCCTGTGCACTCACTGAGTGCTCTCTTCTCCCTGTCGTTACTAGACTCGCCCCTTACTGCTGATTGGCAGCGAGTGTGTTTTGGGACTCGGTCCGACACTGTGGTCAAAAGCATTTTTCAAATATTGTGTGATATTACCTTTAATGTGTCTGACATGGACGTTTGCATGCCATCAATGCAACCGATTCACATGCATCAATGCTACCAATAAGATTTGGGCTTTTGGTCACATGCCTAGAGCTGCTTTTGTTATATAAAGCATAAAATAGTGTTATTTGAACACCACGTCAAATACAGAACTCTGAATGGCTTTTTGAAAACATGTAAATGACTAAATTTCTTCTCCATGAAAAGAGGGTGGCGTAAACGGAAAGGTGTTTCTGCTTTTACATAAGTGCCACCTATTGTCAGCAAAATGATTTTTGCATTTTCATTCACTCAAATGGTATGCGAAAACCAGAACGAATTTTTGTGCTGAACATTTGTGTTGGTGTGAACGGGCCTTAATTGTTGCCAGTGAATAAATCTATTAATAAATCTGTTCTGATGTTTTTTTTTTCTTTTCCAGATGTTTGTTTACACCTCTGCAAAAAAGGAATATGCAGAAAAGATTGTAGATATATTGGACCCTAATAAAAAGCTCTTTAGGTGAGACATATGTTGAATGCCATGTAATCATTACTAGACACGCCCCTTACTGCTGATTGGCAGCGAGTGTGTTTTGGGACTCGGTCCGACACTGTGGTCAAAAGCATTTTTCAAATATTGTGTGATATTACCTTTAATGTGTCTGACATGGACGTTTGCATGCCATCAATGCAACCGATTCACATGCATCAATGCTACCAATAAGATTTGGGCTTTTGGTCACATGCCTAGAGCTGCTTTTGTTATATAAAGCATAAAATAGTGTTATTTGAACACCACGTCAAATACAGAACTCTGAATGGCTTTTTGAAAACATGTAAATGACTAAATTTCTTCTCCATGAAAAGAGGGTGGCGTAAACGGAAAGGTGTTTCTGCTTTTACATAAGTGCCACCTATTGTCAGCAAAATGATTTTTGCATTTTCATTCACTCAAATGGTATGCGAAAACCAGAACGAATTTTTGTGCTGAACATTTGTGTTGGTGTGAACGGGCCTTAATTGTTGCCAGTGAATAAATCTATTAATAAATCTGTTCTGATGTTTTTTTTTTCTTTTCCAGATGTTTGTTTACACCTCTGCAAAAAAGGAATATGCAGAAAAGATTGTAGATATATTGGACCCTAATAAAAAGCTCTTTAGGTGAGACATATGTTGAATGCCATGTACCCTAAATTGTCCTGGAGATGCTTCTCAGCTGGCCATCTGCAAATCTCGTAACATTTTTATTAACCTGAGAGCCAAACAATGGTCTAACTCAGTGGTTCCCAACCCTGGTCCTGGAGGCACCCCAACACTGCACATTTTGCATGTCTCCTTTCTCTGATGCACCAGTTTCAGGTCTTGGAGTCTCTACTAATGAGCTGATGACCTGAATCAGGTGTGATTGATTAAGGAGACATGCAAAACGTGCAGTGTTGGGGTGCCTCCAGGACCAGGGTTGGGAACCACTGGTCTAACTGACTACGATAATTACATCATCTGATCAAAAATGTCACACGTCTTTCAGGGTTCTTATAGTTAACTAACTAAAATTAAAACCATTAAAAAAAATTGTTACTTGAAATAAAATATTTTATTTCAGCTAGTTGCCAAGGCACCATTTCTCACTTTAATTTAGTGTAACTAAATTAACCGTTAAATTAATAACTTAACCGTTTAAGCTCCCAATAATAAGGAGTTATTGGGAGCTATCTATTTTCACTTTGTTTACAGGTCACAAACTTAGCTTTGAAGGAAGTATGAAAATGTAATTCAGTGGCGTTCTTGTTTTAAAGGCATCGTTTGTATCAGGACGATTGCGCCTGTGTGCTTGGACACTACATTAAAGACTTGACTGTTCTGGAGAGAGACCTGTCAAAGACGGTCATCCTGGACAACGCCCCTCACACCTTCCCATATCACGTATGCTTGTCCTTACCTTTTCTATGTAAAAGGGTTTGTTAAACAGAAAGTCTAACCAGTATATCAGTGACATGTTCTTATTGGATCTGTGTTTGTTCTTTCTAGCTGATGAATATGATTCCCATAAAGAGCTGGGTCGGAGATCAAGAGGACCGTGAGCTGCAAAAGCTCATTCCGTACATGGAGAAACTAGTGCATGCAGTGAGTGTTTTTAGCCATTAACATCAGTCTATATATACTGTATATAATAATAATTATTAAAGGGGTCATATGATGCTTTTTTAAAGATCATTATTTTGTGTATTTGGTGTAACAGAATATGTTGACATGCTTTAATGTTCAAAAAACACATTATTTTTCAAATACTTATTTCCACATGGTGAGGTAGATATGTGGGGGCGTGTTAGAATGAGCCGTTTTAGGGGGGCGTGGCAGAGTCTTAACTTTGATAAAGAATATCTTTTTGGTTTTGAGACTTTAGTCTTTGCAACTTCAGGGATCTTATCTATGCACAATCAGCTTGTAACACTCCAAAGAGAAAGGAAAACTTGAAATCGCATCATATTTAAGCATATATAGCATAAAACATAATAACAAATTACCTACCCAGTTCAAAAGGCCATTTATTGAAACTAATAATGTAACTTATAAAGTAGAGAAACCAGGCCAGATACTTTTGTTCCTAAACAGTAACCAATGATATAAGAGTCAAACATGGGAAAGTCACCCATAGAGAGAGAGAGAAAAAACTTGTTCCAAGTACTTGTTTTAATTACGTGAAAAATGAGTAGTAATTTTTAGTAATGATTAACTTGTTTTTTGATTGTTTCTAGGATGACATCAGAAATGTTTTAAAGAAGAGAACCGATCACTTCCACAGGCTGCTTTCTGAAGACTAAACCCTGAATTAAGTGTAAATAAATGTAGAGCTATCCTTGTAAATGCAGTGAAATTCCCAGGCTTCATACTACATACAAGGCTAAAGATATAGTATGATTTTATACTCTTGTATAATAAAAGTTTATTTGATAGAGAATAGTCTTAACAGCTCACCTTTAATCATCCTGGTCAGCTGGTGTTCTGACCCGTTTTGAAGAATAGGACTAGAATCTTGCCTTTAATTTATTGATAAACCTTGTGATGTTTGTACAGGTTTGTGCCATTGGAAGAGTGTTTTCACATTTCAGACTGTTGAATTCATTTCAATATGTGTTGTACTCTATATTCAAACAATACTTTGGCCAAATTTCAATTACCAATAAAAAAAAAAAAAACATTCTCTTTTCTGAAAAACGTTGGTCTGTAACTTGGTCTGTTTGTGTGTCAGACAAGGATAACACTTTAAATTGTTTGGTTTGCTAAGAAAAGGTGTGCTATCATTTTTAAGAAAGTCATGGCATTAAATGTTGCATGCACTACAAAAAAAAAATATCTAAACATTCTTAAATCAAGATACATTAACTTGGGATGCAATTTGAACAGTTGTGGATAATTCTGGCTATGTTCACTTTAAAAAAACAGGTGCATAAGCTCAGATCAAAGAGACTTACAACCAATCAGTTCCAAAAACAACATACAAAACCTGTGCTAGTTGAAATATAGCAATATAATCTAGCATAATGTGAGATTTATAAGCAATTTTTGTAGGCAGGTTGGAAACACCAAGTTAGGTAAATGATTTTCAGCACAGCACAAGGGTTAAATCTGTTCAAAATTAGTTCAATCTGTGTACTAATTCATTTGAGTTAAATCACGTCCCAGGTTAAACTAAATTAAAATAGGGAACAAATTAGTATAACATGGTCACAATTGAACTAAAATGAAGGAAAGAATTTAATAGGTTGTGGGAATCAATTTTTAATTTCTGAACACAATATCTAGTTACTTCTCCCTAAAGGGTATATATTAGGCTATTATCTAAGTGTACATACCTTTTGAAGAGTTCCTAATGATAGCTTTTGCACCTTTTTTCTTTAGTCTTTGGCACTTTTTTTCTGTTCTCAAACCCCCAAAGCTCAGCACTGACCAGTAGTTTTTAAAAAGAATCTCAATTTATAAAGTTTTCGACAAGATTCATGCTTCTTGAGTTGACTGACTAAAGGTTCAAATGACTGTCTGGTAGCTTTGGATCCAGGTACGCAAACACCTGAGGATCATTTGAATCAAACACAGAAACTGAGACACGAGTAATTATGATAATCAGACTCCATGATTATGGTACAGCAGTCATAATTACTTTCATGCTGATGAACCTGTAATTTACTAACTACAGACTGATGGTAAAATTGTTCTTTAAAAAAAGACAATTTTAATATGGACCAGCTTTCATAATTTGTCTTAAATCTAATTTTGTAAAAAAAAATTATAATAATCGTGAATCGAATCGAATCGTGAAATCAAAATCGTGAATCGAATCATGAGTTGAGTGAATCGTTACATCCCTAGTTTTAAGTATCTTTTTCCTTATTTTATATAAAATGTTGTAACACCTTTTTAAACTTGATATTGTGCTTGTAATGTAGGGCCATTTCATCATTTTCTGCTCATATAAAGGTTCCTCTGACAGACAAAAAGGATGAAAACACCACAAGGTGCGAAGTGGATGGTTTTGTTATGGTTGTGTGTCACCCATCTTGGGCAGTTACGGAATAACTATTACACTATTAACTGTGTAGTTATTACTAACTGTGCATACCCTTCTTTCCAGTCTGGTCCCGTTCAGAGAGAAAAGCACAGCTCTGGCACCAAGACCAGCTTCAGCGGTCAGCAGCAAGGGTGAATACATCATCACCAAGCTGGACGATCTGGTCAACTGGGCGCGCAGAGTACGTAACTCTTTACATCAGGGGTCTCCAAACTCTGTCCTGGAGGGCCACCGTCCTGCAGAGTTTAGCTCCAACGTGCCTCAACACACCTCTCTGGAAGTTTCTAGTATGCTTAATAAGAGCTTGATTAGCTGGTTCAGATGTGTTTAATTGGGGTTGGAGCTGAACTCTGCAGGATACCGGCCCTCCAGGAACAGGACTGGACACCCCTGCTTTACACACTCATGCTGGGTACACACTAAAAGATTTTAAAAGTCTTATAAGATCTTCAAGATGTGAGAGACCACAAACATGAGGACAAAATATCCTAGATTTAACCGTTTTGCTCCTATAGTGTGTGGTGTCCTCGGGGTTCCCCCCACACATCAGGAATTCTGATCGTAAATATTCAACATGATTTGCGATCGGGGCGACTCCGACGTTCTTCCGAGCAGATTCAGTCACTCTTAACACACCTCACACCACAGGAAAATCTGATAAGATAATCTTTAGAACCACCAAGATAATCGGGACATTACCTAGGATTGTCGGAAGGGGAGAAATCGGCCCAAAATCAGCCCGATTATCTTGTGGCGTGTACCCAGCATTACAAAACTGTGTTTTAAAAACACTAAATACATGCACTACCGTTTAAAAATGAGGTGGCTGAAGATTTTTTTTTCTTTTCAGATGTTTTTGAAAGAAGTCTCTTCTGCTCACTAAGGCTACATTTATTTGATCAATAACAATTTATTCCTGTGATGCAAAGCTGAATTTTCAGCATCATTACTCCAGTCTTCAGTGTCACATGATCCTTCAGAAATCATTCTAATATGCTGATTATTATCAATGCTAAAAACAGTTGGGGTGCTTAATATTTAGTGGAAGCCATAATACTTTTTTTTTTCAAGATTATTTGATGAATAGAGAGCTTGATGAAAAGAGAGAAATCTTTTGTACCATTATTAATACTTTTGATCAATTTAATGCATCCTTGCTGAATAAAAGTATTAATTTATTTTTTTTTTTAAACTTGACTAACCATAAAAATTTGGACTGTAGCTTATCATATTTTTTTGTAAAAATGTAAAAAAATGTTTGTATTTCAGAGCTCCTTATGGCCCATGACCTTTGGCCTGGCATGTTGTGCAGTGGAGATGATGCACATGGCCGCCCCTCGTTATGACATGGATCGGTTTGGTGTTGTGTTCAGAGCCAGTCCCAGACAGGCTGATGTCATGATAGTCGCAGGAACACTAACCAACAAGATGGCTCCTGCATTGCGGAAGGTAATTGCACCATATCAATAGTAATAAACTTGGGTGTGCGATATATATCGTCTACGATAATATTGTAATTCTTGTTTAAACGATACGCGATTTGACATTATCGAATATATATCGCAAAAGCCAAACAAAAGCACACCCATAAAGTGCGCGCATACACTGAGATGTAGGTTAGACTATTGCGCGTGCACATTTAGAGTTCACACTTCCACTGCGTGATTTAGTCTATTAAAATACATTTAGATTCCCCCCAAAATTCAACATAAGGGGGCAAATATGCCCCCGTATGACTTTTAAATGTCTTATATATTTATATCTGATATAGTTAATATCACACAAAGAGTATAGTTTTTTCTCCAAATATCAGACGATTGCAAATGTGATATTGATTTTATAAAACAGTCCAATAAACAAGAAGTTAATATTAATTGACTTACATTTTAGACACAAGTTCCTCTTTTTGCTCTATTTCATCAACGAAAATAGTTCCAAAGGAAGCCACAGCAGAACTATTTTGCATCTCTGAGCAACACACGACGGTGTTTCGTTACTGAATCAATCAGCCGTTTGAACGAATTGGTTGAATGAATGACTCCCTGACTACGTTTACATGGACATCAGTAATCTAATTATTTACCTTATTCTAAATAAGCCAATATTATGATTATGGTGTTTTATTTGCCGTCAAACGGTTGACCACTGCCGTGTGTGTATCCTGTCGCAAAATGTGGTGAAAAGTCCTACACGACGGTAATAATGTGATTATGGTGTTTACATGTCTATACTACACTTCAGTAATGCGTCTTAATTCGATTTCTGTTTACTTCGATTATGACTTTAGCCGGATTAAGGTAATCAAAAATCTCTTTAACATAGTAGATTCTTAATCAGAGTATTGTCTTAATCGTATTAAAATCGGGAGTATTGTTGTCCATATAAACGTATTGACTGACTCATTCATGCAGTGATTTGCCGCCACCTACTGGCAAATTTAGGTTTATATTTAAAGTACTGTATATTTCCCTTTTTCCCAAAATCATTTCAAATATCACTATTGAACGTTTTGTTTTTTAAACATAAAAACTTTAAGTATGCGTTTGTAACTGCAGGTTAAATGCATTCATGTCCTGCATTAAACAGTGTAAATGCCGATTCAGATGCAGATTCTGCATGCCACCTCTGCATTGCAAACACAAAGTTTGTTGATACTGATTTTATTTTATTGCTAACAGCCCTATAGTGTCTTACTATGTAAATCTATTGATTCAATTTAAGAATTTGACCGAAAAGATGATGCAGACATTTAATTAGGTTAGAAAAAATTGGTCTTATAAATATAAAAATGCCCATAAAAGGTACAAATCAATTTGTTACTCCTGCAAACTAATCACCGCACAGAATATGAAGAATATCAAAATCTTTGGGAGTCAGATGTCTACGGCAGTCCTAAACCTGCCAAAGTACCAGCACAATAACACGCTCAGCAAAATATAATCTAATTATCGTTATAGCCAAAATTCCCGAAAATGTCGAGATTTCATTTTTTGTCATTATTGCACACCCCTGCTGTAAATATAAATGTTTAGTACTAGGTTTAAATGGATAATTCATCCAAAAATGAAAATTTTGTCATTTACTCACCCTCAAGTTGTTCCAAACCGGTATGAGTTTCCTTTTTTTGTTGATCACAAAAAAAAATATTTTGAAGAATGTGGGTAACCAAACCGTTAACGGTGACCATTGACTTCCATAGTATTTTTTTCCATACTGTAGAGGTCAATTGCTACCATCAACTGCTCTGTTCCTAACATTCTTCAAAATTAGGGTTGGGTACCGAAACCCGGTACCAATATGGCACCGGTACCTATGTAACTGGTATGCACTAGAACCGAATCATAATGCAGATTTCGCTGCCTCATTTCGGTGCCATGCCTGAGCGATCGATTGAAATATTTGTCCTCTGGTTCTCCGAAAAGGACGTAAGAAGCATCATATAATATAGAAAAATAATTTCCCGACTGAGAAAATGCACATGAACTCAAGTCGGAAAGCTCTAATAATACAAATCCAACAAATCTTTGTAGTAACGAGAGTGTCCATGTTGTTTTCACATTCCGACTTAAAAGCA